CCCAGTGCCCCTTCCTGCCCATGGCAGGGGGTCGGACTAGATGATCTGTCTAGGTCTCTTCCCACTCATTGATTCTATGATTCGATGATTCTATGATCAGGGCCAGATGCTTTTTTGTTCTACTGTCTTATCACCTGGTGGACTTCCTCAGAGGTAGATGGCCTGGAAAGTGCTTCCTTTACTGGATGCTGTGGGATGGATTTGATGGTTTCATCAGTCACTATCAATTCTCAGTTCAGGAACATTTGGTAGTGCTTCTTCCAGAAGTTTTTGTTGTATTCATCTTTCAGGAGTGTACCACCTTTTTTCAGAGCTAAGCAGGGTTAGTTTGCAAGAGCTTGGTTCATACACAGCCTTGGTTGCACTGAAAAAGCTCCACGTATCATGATTGACAGCTTACCACTGCCAACCTGAACAGCTCTCTGTCTTTGAGATGCATACATTTAAGGCAGAACTCTATTTCACTCTACATGCCCAAGTGGCAGTTTTTCAGCCAGGTAAGCTTTATTTTTGGCACTTCATACTGTTTCCAGTTCTTTTACTTATAAGTGTGGCATCTGCATGGCTCCTGATCATGCTCAATGTAAGCTATGCGCTGGCCAGACAGTTATGCAGCCATATATGTGTACTTGAGCATAAGTCCACAAAAAACAGGAGGAGCCCTTCTGTGGTATAGTCCTAATAGCTGAATGGTTAGGGACATTTCCCCAGGCTGTAGGAAACCTGAGTTTTAAGTCTGTCCACCAAAGCCAATTTTAATTTTTTCTCTCTGACTTACATCAGGCACTCTCTTATCACTACATCCAGCACTCTTTTTAAAGCTGCTCTTTGCATCTGAAATTCACTGGATGAAATAGAGAGCAGAGGGATAATTTCTGTCCCATTGGGTTGGAACCCATGACCTGTTCCTTTTCAGAGGAGCACCTGTCAAACTGAGGAACACACCCTTTAATTTGTTCTCTTCTATCTCTCTCTCTTTTTCCTTTTCATGGCCACCTAGTAGGGTTGTGCGAAGCTTCTATTGCTGATTTGATTCGGAGGAGATTCGGCCCAATTCAGTGGTTGAATCTCTAAATCCAAATCGAATCAGGAGACCTTTTAATCTTGCCAAATTGAATCAGAACCCTCCAAATTGATTTGGAGAGATTCAACAATTCAGACAAAGACACAGCTTTAAATGCTTTTTCTACATACCTCAAGGTAGCAGGAGGCTTGTGAATGCTAAGATGGTGGGGCAGATGGGGCGGGGGGGATCCCCAGTGCACTCAACAGCAGACCTGGAAGTGGACCAGAAGCACTTTCTGGTCCACTTCCAGGTCTGCCAGGGAGCATACGGGGGCCCCCCTGTGTTCCCCTGGCTTGGTGACTGGTGCATCCTGGGTCCGGGGAGGGGCACCCAGGGTCCCCCTGTGGCCGATTGCCGAGCTGGGTGGATATGGAGGCTCCCTGACATGTGCTTGGCGGCAGACCCAGAAGTGGACTGAAAGTACTTTTGGTCCACTTCCGGGTTCACCACCAAGCATGCGGGTCTTCCCCTGCCCCACGCTCCTATGGGGTACTCCATCTGCCCCACCATTGCAGTGTTCATGAGCCACACCTGGTACCTCGAGGCATGTAGAAAAAAAATTTAAAGCTGTGTCTACAGCCGAACTGCAAATTCTCCAAATCAGCATCGAATCTTCAGATTTGGATTAGGCTGAATCGAACTGGGACAGTGATCCAAAACAACAAATCAAATCACTGTCCCCAATTCAGGCTGAATCTGAATCCAAATTGAATACAGCCTGTTTCATACACCTCTACTGCCTAGTGAATCAGGTTTAAAAGGATTACCATAGAAGACATTGTATAATGTCTAATCTATGGTTGGGTGGTTGGAATGCTGTGATTAAAAGTCAGAGAGAGGCAGGGTCTGAACCTGCTTTGGGTGAGTAAGCCCTAGAACCTTGGTATCTTTCCTGGGCAAGTGCCCTAACCCCCTCAGTTCTAGAACTAAAACACAGGAGAGTCCTCCTCCTACCTCTAAACTGTGCTAGTCATGAGTTTTTGTTGGTTAGAATTTTGTGACTTGCATATAGTCAACATATTCCCCTCCATAGTTTTGTGTCCCAGATTGCATGATCAGTAACCATGTAGATAATTAAGCATCCTCACTACGTCAGTAATAGAATCATAAAGTATGCTAAGTGCCAAAAATGCCACTTGCTGGAAAGCTGATATTTAGGTGTGCAAAGGGAAATAGAATTTGGCCTCTAGTCTTTTGTCTCTTCTTACGGTATTGTTTGTCCTTGTCAATAAGTCATCTTTCCTCTTGTCTTTTCTATATCTTGTAAAGCATTATTGTGCATTTTTTAGAGATGACCTGAAATGTCAAAAGTAACAAATGTTTAAAAGAGATTAAATTTTCCACGTTCTGTTTGAGATGCATTATCTGAGTGTTGGATACCTTCTCTCAGACCCATTTAAGCTGCCATATTAATCACCAGAAACTGAAACATCTGAAATTAATAGTCATGTTAAAAATGTAGATTAGTTCCTTAAGAAATGTGGACATATTTTATTTAAAAAGTCAAAGCAAAGCAAAACAAACAAAAAGAAAGCCCCAAGCATATTGCTTCATTCTTACTATATTCTTGATACTTGGTGTAATTGAATATAGAAGAAGAGTTGTTATTATTCTTGGTACAACATTGATTGGTATCAACATTCTTAGAGTCAACAGTTTAATGGTTTCAAAACCTCAGTTTTCATATATACATATTGTTTTCAAATGTGTGCATCCCCATTTTAAGACATATTTTAATTAGGATTGAAATGCAGACACTTGTATTTATGCTTTTTAAACTGCAATGATAAATAACATTTAACAAAACTCCTGCTAGCCCACAGAAACCAGGGAAGAAGAATACGTGTATCCAGTTCATAATCCAATGAAAGCATACTCTGTTCAAGTCAGAGCAAAGAAAAAGATTTGTATAACAAACAAGCTTTGGAGTGACTGGAGTGAACCAGTTTTCATCGGTGATGGTAAGTTATAATTTGTAATATAAACAGGGAATAATTTTAGCTGCAAAAAGACAATACTGTAATAAACAGGAATAGGGAACCATGTCTCAGGCCCTGTCAAACTGTTTGCAGGTTCAGGTTAGGAATACAGAAGAGAAAAGTTCTCCACATCATTATCGTTGTTTTCTTGTATTCTGGTAATTCTTAGGATCCCTAGTCAGGAACTGGGACCTACTTGTACTTAAGTGTTATATAGGACAAAATGAAAGCCCCTGCCCAAAGATTTACATTCCTTTTATGATGGGATTCCCCAGGGCATGGGGGACTCCTAAGTTCCAGTCATTTCTCTCAGTATGGTTTATGTATTTTACGTTATGCAGTCATTGCTTACAAACCAGACATAACCCTGGCAGCAGGGACCAGAAATCCAGGTCTTCTTGTTACCTGGGAAGTAAGCTCACCAATGGACTACAGAGTCAGTATCCTTCTTGCTTACTGTTCTGGATGATGGCTCCTGTGCTCTTGGCTTCACAGCCAGTCAAATTTGTCATGAGAAGTGGAAGCTGCCCTTTCCCAGACAGCTGTCTTATCTGTTGGTTAGGGTGTTGGGAGATGTGAGTATAAATCCTCTCAGAATGAAGTATGGGCGACTGGTGCCTCTTGAGTCTGGGGGGGTACCTGCAGAAATCAGGGGCAGCATCAACAGTAGGGACGGTGCTGACGAGTACCCATAGAAGTTGCCAGGGTTGTTGGCAGCGAGGATGGGGCTGGTGAGCTCCCACAGAAGCTGGTGACAGTGGCGGTAGGGACAGGGCTGGCAAGCACATGCAGAAGTTGCTGGTGGTGTCAGTGGTGGGGACAGCCCTGTTGCAGGGGCATGTGCCCTCTGAAACCTTCTACCTACCAGTTGCCTATGGGATGAGGTAGGCGAAGAATCTGAGTTTCTCATTTCTTGGGGAAGTGCTCTAATACCTGGGCCATTATTCAAAAGGTGGATGGTATATGTGCACCAAGTGAAATCAACTTGAATTCAATGCTGTTGATGTAAGTTAGGCTTCTCCCTTCTGGACACTGGATTCTAAGATAATACAGATGCCTAATGTTCAACCCTTAGTTAGATAGCTAAGCCCTGGATAGGGGCAGGGATTCAGCATGTACTTTCTGCTTCCTATTATGTGTCTAGGTCTTATCCCACTAAACAGATACATTTTCTGGATTACATTTTGGAGATATCTAACCTCTCCCGATTGACTGCCTAGGGATCCTACAAGCCTGACCGTACCCATTTTAGGTGTCACAATGCCTAAGAGGGAGCATCTGAGAGAACAATTTGGACCTGATCTTGTATGTTTCTCTGTGTGAATATGTTGATACACAAAATAGTATAAACATTACCTTTAATAAGTAAGAAAAGATAAATATCTCACAACTGAATGCAGAAAGGCTGCATGGCTGTAACAAAAAATCAGTATTTAACCATTTGAGCTAAAGGTTCATATTTGTCTGAAGGTACAAAAACTACAGGGTTAGGCACTGCTATTTTGCTAATATAATGGTGATGAGGAGTACTCTGTATATGTAACATCAGTATGGGAAAACAGTCAGCATTACAAGCTCTTTTTACAATGAGGAAAAGTGGAACGCATGGATATTTACTTACAAACATGGTAACACCTGCTGCTAATCCTTTATCACAAGTAAAAGGAAGTGGAACTATTTAGGGGCTGTCAGCACATCACAAGACTCTAGCTCAACAAACCCTGCTATTATAGTTTAAGTGCTTGTAATGCTCCTGCTTTCCCAACTTCCTCTACAGCTGCTGCTTAGGAGAAAATGATGGCTTAACAATCACACCCAGTTTCCTCTATGTCAGAAAAGTTCCTGTATAGTGGGTCAGATCTCAAAAGTCACATGCATTCAGTGAAGCTTTCCTGATTTATACCAGGTGTAGATTACACTTCACATGTGTACACCCAAGTTTTATAATACCCAAACACTTTCCCTTTTTCCCTTCTCCCTGATCCTAGAGAAGTTCAGTGTAGTAGCTCTTAGAATAGGAATGTAAATTGAGGGTCCATATACCCTTCCTACCACATCCTCCTCTTGATGCCTGTAGGAAGGTTACGGTCCGTTTTCCTTGAAATTCTTTTTCAATCCGATTTTTGCCTCTGCTTCTAAGGAGGACCAAATGTAGTAAGTGTATTATATTTAAGTAATGTATAGAAGTATATATGTAAAAGAATTATATAAATATATATAATTATTATATAAATATGCATAACTATTATATCTTAATGTATACATCTATGTATAAATATATACATATTTCCAATGGGCATTTTAACTTAAATTAAGTTAAAAATAAAATGAAAGGATATGTCAAAACAAAATAGAAATCTTTGTATTAAAGTATTTGAAATACTTAAAAGTGTTAAATTTCCCACAGGAAAAGTGAGTTCATTTAATAGGAACTGACCTTTGCCCATGGCAACTTTCAGTTTCAGCTAAACTAATTTTCAGTGTAGAAACTTTCTGCACAAAACCGTTTTGTGTAGAAAAAAGGCATGGAATGCTGAACTGGCTTGTAAGTAACTGGTTAAGATGGGAATACACTCAAGGTTTTCTGATTCAAAGTCCACAGCTTATCCTCTGAGACAGGGCTGTCCAACATCTAAGTGGCTGGAGGTCACAGGCCCCTCAGCCACATGTGTGGGCAGAGTACCTCCTGAGCCTCATGCCATATGGTGCCATATGGCTCCCCACTATACTGCACTACTCTGTGTGGGGTCCTCAAGTCTCTCCAACTCTCCTGGGCCTTGGATCCTTATGCTGCCCTGCCCTGTTCTGCCCCCAGGGGCAGGGGCAGGCTGGAAGAAGCAGGAGAATGGGAGATTCCTACAGCAGCAGCAGGGGAGCGATGGGGACAGTGTCACCCAGACTGGAAATCTGAGGGTTGCAAATTATTCCCTTGCGAGATGCATGTGGGCTGCTAATTGAACAGCCCTGTTCTGAGGCACACACCTTCTCACTGAAGTTTACAGAAATGTAATCTTTGTCTTTGTAGCAATGCAAGAAGGGTACCATATTTGTGCTTAATTGATTCATAGAAAAGAGTCCTTTACTATGCCATGAAGCCCTCTGAAGTTAAATTTTTTCAGAATACCATATTCTTTCTGCACTACTAAAACTAACATTTCCTTTTTCCCCCCCTTTTTTTTTCTTACAGATAATACAATGGACACCTTTCTACACATACCAGTTTTGGCATGTGTTCTTCCTGTGATTTCCTTTGGAATATTTCTGATTTTTATCTGTAGAAGGTAATGTGCATTCTTGGTGGTGAGAGGCAGGGCAGGGGGGTGTTGTCTTTCTGTGCGTCACCAGACTATGTAATATATAAAGAATCAATCAAAAGCAGCTCTTCTATTTCACTGGTGGTTGAATTATACTTAAAACCTAGCTGGAAATTTAGGACTATAGTTGCCTTGTAGATATTCTAAACACTGGGTGATCTATACCTGTGCTTTACTTCAGAGTTCACTAACTAGCTCCACAGTAAACCATTACCATCCACATGTGTGCTGGTATTATGGTCTGCCAGGGGCCAGACCTCTGGCTCTTGCTAGCCCCTCCACTGCCTGATGCCACCACCCGTAGACCAGGGTTGAACCCCCGGGCCACCCTGCCAGCCTGGGGCTGCTATGCTCTGGTTCTATTTGCTGCAGTCCTGGGTGCACATGTAGATGATGGGCCCCAGAGCAGTTAACTCCAGCACAAACTGCTCTGGAGTTTATTGCATCACCTTAATAGCAAATACCAATAGCTGACTAGCTCCACAGTAGAGTGTCACCATCTACATGTGCACCCACATTAGGGTGCAGTAAATAAATTAACTCTGCTGTAGAATAATACTGTCTGGGACACGTACGATTATACTGCAAAGTAGTTACATGCACTGAAACTCACATGTAGATGGTGACTGGGGCTGAGTGGGGCACAGGGGTGTGGCTAACTCTACACTATAGCACCGTCATGCCTCACCCAGCCACACCAAGCAAGGTGAGCTGGGGCAGAGCAGCCTCCAGACTGGCAGGCTGACCCCCTGGACCTCCTGCCAGCCCAGGGCTGCTCTTCCTTGTCTCAATGCTGTGGTCCTGGGTGAACATGTAAATGCTAGTTGTCCCTGGGCACGCTCCTCTACACATGCTCTGGCATGCAGCAAATTGCCCCATGCAGGGTAGCAGAAGCTGGTGCCAGCACCTGAGCTGGCTCTAGAAGCCTTACCTGGGTTTCTGGGGACCTTGTAAGGATCCCACATGAGGAGCCTGGCCACCAGCTGGCCAGACTCTGGTTTCAGGTGGTGCATGCTGCAGCAGTGTGTGCCATGCTGCTTTTTTTGGCATTTTTTTTTTTTTTTACAAAGAGACCTTCCAGTATCAAAAAAAAAATTAAAATGCCACACTACAAATTAGCAATTCGGCGAATGCATGCACGTGTGGTGCATGCAGTTTGCAGTGCCGCAGATGGGTTTGCGGTGCCAAAAACCAGACGTGCACACTTATGGGGATACTCCCACTGATTGGTAATTTGCCTCCAAATGCTGTTGCTGCTCTGTCCTAGCCTCCCCAA